GGCCACTTTAGGCTGCACGGGCCTTACCAGACAGACAGACGGTGAGCCTCACTGCCCACTCGACCTCTGACCGTTGGTATGTGGTTGCCAGGCGCTCGAACGTGGTGCGATGCTGCTCAGTGTCATCTCCCTCTTCCAACTTACGAACAGCTGACCGTGCCCAGCCTCTCACCGTGAGCTTGCACCTCGATCTGCTGCCATCTTCATTCCATCGCTTACTCAAATCAGACTTACTCAACCCTCAGACATTTTTGGAGAGGGGTCAAGTAAAAAAAAGACACACAGCGCACACATTACAGCTCTGACTTACAGCATCTTCCCAGGACAGTCAGCAATCAACAACAGTGAAACAAGAACCTCATTATACAGCACGGACTAATCCACACAGGTGCATTTATCTGTATGAAAATTACGACAGAATTTACTATTAGGTACATTAATAGATTAATATTGCACAGTGTTGTTTTAGCATAAGCAGCTTTTAAATATAATTCCATGTATGGTTATTTCATTAAAAATATTTCCCAAGCTAAGGCTCACCTCCCAGAGTCCAAATCTGATAAGTCCACACCTCCAAATCCATGCCTCCTCCAATCAGCTCAAAGGAAAGGCAAAGAGGAGTGAAATATCGCAAACCAACATGCCAACTAAACAATGATTAAATTCAGGATGCAACTGATGTGCAGTGTTGGGAAGGTGACTTTTAAAATGTATTCCCCTACAGATTACATACCTCAAAGTGTAGTTTGTAACGTAATCTATTAAATTACTTAAATTGAGTAACGTAATCTGAATACTTTGGATTACTTGATTTTGTCATGCTTTTTAAAATGACATGAATGAAGCAACCACATCCTGAAAATTCTTGTTTGTTGTCTTCAAATTGTCTGTTGAGCCCAAGTCTCCATGAATAAGTCACTGTTTGCTGTAGAGAAGCAAAGACCAGGAAATGTTAACATGAGATGTTTTGTTTTGTCTGTTAAAAGACAATAAAAAGTCCAGTCTTTACTTAACCATATTAAAAATATTATTGATAGAGAAATTATTTTTATATAAGATCACTGCTGCCTTAAATTATGTCCATCTACTGTTAGGTGTCATATTGTTTAGTCCTGGTTTAGTCCTGCTTTGAGTCCTGGTTTAATCCTGGTTTAGTCCTAGTTTAGTCCTGGTTTTAGTCCTTCTTTAGTCCAAAATGTGAAAACAGGAAAATCCCTCTGTGTAATCCATTTATTTCAACAAAGTAACTGTAATCCAATTACCACTCATTGAAACAGTAACTGTAACTTAATACAGTTACTCATAATTTGTACTCTGATTACGTAATCCCGGTACATGTAATCTGTTACTCCCCAACACTGCTGATGTGGCTGTAATAATGATACACGTCAAATGAAATATTTACATTTTCAATGTACATAAACATAAAGGTAAACACTTCATAAGGCAACGCAAGTTTATTTGTATAGCACAGTTTCATACACAAAGTAATTCAAAGTGCTTTACGGAACAAGAAATGCATTAAATCACAATACAAACAAATCAAAACATAAATAATCATCATAAAATTAAAAAGAGAGAGAGAGAGACATTAAATTAAAGTTGAAGAAGATTAGAATGAAAAATGAAAACCATTCAGTCATATGGAGCTAAGCAGAAGTGTTTTGAGGCTGGATTTAAATAGCGTCAAAATAGAGACCTGACTCACACCTTCAGGAAGAATGTTTCAGGTTTTACCAGCGTGAATTTGAAACTCTGACTCCCTGTGTTTAGTCCTGACTCTGGGCAGCAGCAGGAGACCGGTCCCTGAGCTCCTCAGAGTGTAAGATGAATCATATGACACTAACATGTTACAGATGGACTTTGGTGCTCGGCCATGGAGAGACTTGTACAAGCAGAGCTGCTTTAAACTCTATTCTCTGAGGCACAGGAGCCAGTGCAGAGACCTGAGCACAGGACGCATGTGCTCGTACTTCCTGGTTCAAATGATAAGTGAGTTTACAGCTCACAGGCACAATGCTATTTTACAATGTGTACACAGTTTAGTAGCAACACCAGTGTTGATTTAGTGTTTAGTTCCAGTTTAACTGAAATTTTGAAGAAAAAGTCACTCATTGGTAGCCTGATTCATCAGCCGGTTTCACTTCGTGGAAACCGTCCGACCAATCACTGCTATTTGGTCGTGACATTTGTAATGCACCACTAACGGGGCATTACATTTCCCAAATCCTGTAGGAAGAAGGAAGCAATACTGTATTTCCCATTGATAAAATTCACAACGTCTCCAACACAGAATGTATGGCTCTTCACTGATTGGCTGGTGCCCGAACTCGCACTTCCGGGATTTTTGAGAACAGTCTAGTGTATTCCGATTCCTGACCTAGACGCTGGAGAGAAATGAAATTGAGCAGAGGTACTAGTTGGCGCCAGCCTGGCTAGCTCATTGTTATGTCAGGTGAAGTGTCTTGCCCAAGGGCTCTATGCCAGTAGCAGGGATTGATGTCAGAGTAACCACACAATTGCATTGATTTTGCTGTTTAACTGTCACTGTAATAATATTCTAATAACAGCAGAAGTGTGCATGTAACTGGAGCTAAATGAAAGAAAACACATCACAAATTCATCAGCATGAGGAGTAAAGTGTTTTGCCCCAGGACTGAATACACCTCTGCCATACTGGAACGAGGATTGAACCACTGACCTACAGGTTTGTGGGTAAACGTATACACCACTGCTCCACACACACGGCTGGTCTGTACAAAGGTGACTCCATTTCATTTCAGACATCGTGAGTCATTTCATTACAGCGAGGACGAGGCGGTCAGAGGGGAGCTGGACAATTAACCTCCAAACACTCACAACACTGCCTTTCACAAACAATCATTTCATCATTTCATCACACAGAGCTTTCAAAATATAAAGGGGTTCTTTACCTTCAAAGGAGATGGGATGAATGTGGTTTTCTTTGACAAAAACCTAATCATTAGACGGAAAAATGACTGATGAGTAATTTACAGATGGCTGGAACATTGTGGATGTTTCTGTTTTTCTAACTAGAAGATTAAAGGCACATGTACAAATTAAAATGTGAGAAACAGAACTAGTTCATTTGAAAAGGTTTGTAATTCCATTCCTCAATTTCCTAACACATTATTCACCATAATGAGTTTATAAACTCTTCACCGCTCGTAGACCAGAGCAGAGTTCAGGTGAAGACAACAAAAAGCAGCAGAAGAAGATTCTCAGTCTGCAGATTGTGATTTAATTTTGACCCCAAGAGTTAAATATTTTTATAATTTATCTGTGCTGGGACAAACGCTGTTCAACAGAGTCACTTCAACAGTTGTGTGCAGTCACAGTCACAGTCACAGTCACAGTCACAGTCACAGCCACAGACCACAGTCATTGTGGTTTTGGCCACCGGCCGGTCAAACCTGATCTCATCAGATTTGAAAGGTTAAACAGGGCAGGGCCTGGTCAGTATTTGGATGGGAGACTTTTGGGAACATCAGGTGCCACTGTGGGGCACCAGTCACAAAGACTGTTGTTGTGTCCTAAGGCAAGACACTTCACTCACACTGCATAGTATGAATGTGGTGTGTGTGAGTGTTGGTGGTGGTCGGAGTGGCAGATTGGCAGCCTTGCTTCGGTCAGTCTGCCCCAGGCAGCTGTGGCTACAGTAGCAGTTTACCATCACTGAGTGTGGAGTGAATATGGATGTGTGGACTGTAAAGTGCTTTAAATCTGCTGAAAGACGCTGTATAAATCCAATGATTAATTCAATAATGAATTAAAAGTCTCCTGATCTCATAATATAAACTGGATAAACATTAATTTGTTTGGGCTGTCAAGAGGTCAGGGCAAACCAAACCCTCACAATATGCTGTGATCTGAAAAATTGATTATTTTTGGAGGTGATTCATGAGTCACCTCCTCCGTGTTTGTCTGTTTCTCATTCTCTGTCGACTGCTCTGCTCAATGGGCTTCTTCAGGTTGTTTTCTAAACAAATTTTGTCCACCTGATCTATTCTCATTTGGGCCTGATCACATGTGGACACAGCTCAAATGGCCACTTAATGCTGGGCTGTCTAATTTCCACACTGCACAAGGAGTACAAACTGGAGGAGGACATTTAAAACCCCTTCATGCATGTTTTTGCTGAGGAAACGTTATAACATGATCGACATCCACACTATGATATTAACACTCTACCTCTACCTTCATTTAACCACAGGTGGTTTAGCCTCTCCACAGATCTGACCTGTAAGTTGGTCTGGTTTGGTCTCCATGAAGATAGAAGGTTTAATGCCATACTGTGAAACATTCTAGATGAAACAAGGACATTTTGATGGAGAAAAGCATTTGACAGACCCTCCACCTGAAAAGTTACACAATGCAACTTTAAAAATAGACATTTAAAAGTTTTTCTAGTCAACCTGTGATAAGTTTTATAATTTTTTTCTCACCATTCTTGAAAATTCACTAACCACTAATCCCAGTGGATGTGAAAGTACCTCAGCCATTTTGTGCACAGAAAGGTTTTTTGGGGTGAAAATGTGGTGTTTAAAGCAGTGTAATAGAGAATGTGAAAAATGTGTCCTCTGCTAAAGTAAACAAAACATTTATACAGGTTTGGAGTGCCGCGGTTGACAGCAGACCGAGCTTTAAAACAAATGGAGATACACTGAAAAAAAAAGGTTGCTGGATTTGCGTAAAAAAGTTATGGAAAGCGGTTGCACGCAATAAAATTATGTTTAGGCTTTGAAACTTTTTTCGATCCCCTCTACACATATTTGTCTCAGAACATGAACATCACTTTTTCATGTTGATGAAATTTGAACAAATCATGCTGAATATGCATATTTATCTTATGGTACCTTATCATGAAATGTATAAGTATAATTTAATTTAATTGATCTAATTCTGTAAAATAATACAAAAACAGTCTTTAGTTTTCCACAGTTCTGTATTGTCTTAAACAGAATCAAACACAAAGAGCACAGGGACAGAGACACACAGTTTGGAGCTGGACAGTGTGAAGATTTATTCCAGTGAAGAAGCTCTGGTCTCTGCCTGTGGACACAGAATAACACATGATGATCACATTCTGATGATCTACTCTGTTGTACATGTTTAAATACACTTAAAGTACTTATTACTACAATAAAGGACCAGAACAGAAGAACAAGAACATTAGAAGTGTATCTGCAGAAACAAAACTCACCATGTGCTGCTTTTCTTCCTCTAAACACAGTAACAGGGAGGGCATCTGGTATAAAGTCTCCTAATGCCACATCACCTTGTACAAGTACGATAACAGTTTCAATAGGAAGTTCATTTTGAAAAATTTTAAAATAATTTTAGTTGGTTTACTTACTTTGTTCATCTGTGCTCTGTGTTTTGTTGGTTCTCAAACATCTTCCTTTTTTCTGAAACATCAACTATAACATTCATGAACTTCCCCACAGCTCCAGCAGAGCTCTGGACGTCACTCTGTGTTTGTAGACGACTCTGGAACAAACACATTCAAATCTTAGTACAAGTGTCACACTCTTGTAGATGGACAGTCAAAAACAATTTGTGTCAAGGAGTCCTTACATTAACTCTAATTTCAAATAAAACAACACAAACATGTTTTAACAATGACGACATTCTAGGCCGGAGAAGCACATAATACAATCTTTAAAAAGTCTTAGGGTCTTAGATCAGCTTCATAATCCTCCTGCTCCACACTGTGTGTCTCTGCTCCTGGATCTGTCCTGTGTCCTGTTACATTTGAATTTTCCCTCCAAAAGTTTTGAGGAGGAGAATTCCAGAGGGAGGAGCCTCACCAGAGATTATAATAAAGTCATGTTTCCTCAACCTGATTAAAACATGCAGGTCTCACATCGGCCACAATCAAGCGATGTTTGTAAGATTTAAACATGCTGAACAGAGAAACGTAAAAAAGTGATGTTATTGTTGTCAAATTTGTTTTTGCAATTTGAGCAACCCCTCTCGGACCGTTTTTTCAGTGTAATAATATGATACCTCCAACGATGATTCAAATAAATAAAGAATAATGTAGTGTGTGTTCAGTTTATAATGTCATGTATGAGAACAGGTATGTATTTTGAGAAGTTTTGAGAATGTTCACAAGTTACCATGACGACGCAGTGCAAACGTTAATATATTTTTTATGATTGTCTGAAAACTCAAGAAAAAAAAAACAAAAAAAAAACTAAATTGATTTAAACAGTGCATTTTCGGGAGCTTGTGTTTCAGCTAAGTCAGTTTTTTGGTTAGATTGTGTTCAAGTAAACCTCAAATTAAAATCTAACAAATAAATGCTTATAAACTTATCACAGTGAATAATCGGGATGTTCAGACTGCTGCTGAAGTGGACCAAGGGTGTAGGTTTGCAAAGTGACGGTGGGGACATGTCACAACTAATATTGGGGAAGACAAAATAGTCCCTACCAATATTTTGACATTTTATTTTAATAAACAAAAATATTAATTTATTCAGTCTTATATCATTTATAGTATTAATTTAACACATTTTAGTTCACATTTTGTTTATTAGATGTTCTCAGATGTATTCAGTGATATGACGACAGGGTTGCTCCTGCCGCTGTTTCATTGGCTGCAACAGAGTGATGTCATTAGTGGAGCCAGGAGCCTAAACTGGGGAAGCGGCAGGACAGGACCAGCACCTGAAGATGGCGGCTTGAGCAGGCGTGAGTGAAGACGCTGCGCAACAAACTTTGAAAATCTTTTCAAAAGGAACTTACTTGGCTTCATCTTCAATTAAACTTGTCTTATAATGAGTCGCTGTGGAAAAAGAACGATTATCACCACAAGTGCACCTCCCAAACGGAGCCCGACTCTACTACTGACAATATTCCATGAAAAAATGTACAGACATGAGCTCACAAATATCTCATCACCAACAAGCAAAGGGAAATCTGCTACAAACTTCTACATCACTGTTGCCCACTAAAGAATCATCTTAGAAGGGCAATGGACACAAACTGTATATGTTGCGAACTGAAAAATGAAACTACCTGCCCAGACTCTGTGTAGCCAGGCTGGCGCCACCTATTGCCTCTGCTAAATTTCATTTCTCTCCAGCGACTAGGTCAGGAATCGGAATACAACCCCGGAAATGCAAGTCCGAGCACTGGCCAATCAGCGAAGAGCCATACATTCTGTGTTGGCAACAATTCCCGAGATTAAGGATTTAAAGCTGGAACAAAGAGAATGTTTGGTGAATTTTATCAAGGGGAAAGATGTTATTGCCCTTCTTCATACAGGATTTGGGAAAAGCTTAACATACCAGTTAGCAGAGTTAGCGGCGCATTACATACGTTACGACCAAATAGCAGCAATTGGTTAAATTTTAAAAAGTACCCGCCTACCATTGAGCGAACGGATCCTAATGCTGCAAAGTCAGACCGTTTCCACGAAGTAAAACTGGCTGATGAATCAGGCTTGTCTGTGGCTGTGTGTTTTTGGACAGAATTCATAAAACATAGGGATATGATGACGTCCCCACCAAAGCTGAGACCAAACCTACGTCCTTACTTTGGACCAGTGCAAACCACTGGCAATGCGGCGAAGTGTTTTGCATAAGTACACAATAACAGGTGGACATCAACAGCCCCGTGAAGCAACAAGTCAAATTGTATTTTTTATTTTGCTGCCCCCAATTTACAATCCAATTTGACCCAAGCGTACCACAAAACCCGAATCAAATACAAAGCAACACATGTAATGATTGAAGACACCACTGGCTCTAGATTTCAGATTCTCAGATTGCAGTGCCTCTTATCGCACCCAGATGCCACTATCTATATGGAAATGGGTGAGTACTGGACGATAAATGTACAGTGATGTATTTTTTGTGCTATCCCCAGCCCAGAGTGATTCCCAAGTGTGGTGATTACATGTTTTATTCATTTCTGCGTTGACCAAATGTGTCACTTTGTAGTTTCAATCGATATAACTCCACAGGTATTGGTTCCCAGAGATAGTGAACACCTTTACGTGTGTGTCCATTAATCACTGTATAATAAACCAGGGTTGCTGATAACGTGGCCTCCTATCTCATTTGTTTAAAGAGCCCGTATTACGCTGTTTTCTGCTGCTGAATGTTGCTTCCTCGTCACAAACAGACCTGGAGTTGTGTTTTGTTTCATTCACACGTTTAACACACAAAACCTGCATATTTAGGCAAATTTGTCACTGTACTGGACCAAACAGAAAGGCAAAGACAGGGTATAAAAATAAGTTTAAATTTAATAAAGTCAGAAAAAATGTAATTTAACAAAGGCTCAAATTAGGTAAATTAGAGATGGGTATGATTAGTTGATTAATCGATAATTGATCATTAAGAATTTCATCGATTTACATTTTAAATCGACAAATCTAATGTAGGTTGCTGTGTGTAGCGTAGGGTAAACAAATGTCCATTTTTCCCCGGACATGTCCATTTTCCACGTCCTGTCTTGGCCATCCTGTTTTTTTTTGTTTTTTTTTAAATAAAGTGATGCAAATGTCCAGGTTTTCATTACCTTTCATTGGGCCATTAAATTGAGCGTCTCTCGTAGCTCTCTGCACTCAGAAGGAGCGAGCAGACACAGACAGTCGATCAGTCTGCAACACGCCGAAGCACAAATGCGGATTTAACAATGACTCGTACCAGAAATTCGAGAGTGGGAGGCCATGTGCACAATGTACAAAGCAGCACATATGTTTCGGTGTCCAGTGGCGGTGCCAGGGGCCTCAAAGCACCATGACACCGAAAAACATTAAAAAGTTTAGCCAGGTGAGAGTCGCTCAATGTCGATCCCACCCCCCGTACGGTGTCCTGGTTTTGACAAACACAAATATGGTCACACTAACCTGTATCCCACTGAGTCATATCCTTTAATCCGACAGACGTTGAACCGCATCAGTGCAAAAAAACAGTTTTTGTCTTTGCTTAGTTTATACAAATTGGCCATGTGGTTTTAAGTTTCGTTTCTGTGAGACTTGTGCAAAGCTGCATTAAACACATTATAATGTCAAACAGGCTGATGTGGCTCTAGAGTGGTTACGGTTTATATGTTGTAATGTTGAATTTATTTATGCAAATTAGTAGTGGAGATAGTAACGATGACGATAATTTTAATATAAAAAATGTGAATGATTAATCGATCGTTAATTCTCCCGATGATCGATTAAGAAAATTTTGTTGAATGCCCATCCCTAAGTTAAATCGTTAACAAAAGCTAATCCAACCAGACAAAGAACAGGGGTGTTTAAATACATGAGGACCACAACTGAACACAAGAGGGGAGAATTATATTAAATAATTAACTAAAACTACTGACTTAATCAAAGTAACAATAAGGCAAATAAGTATAATACAGAAAATAATAAGTAATAATAAAGTGACCTTAAACAAACTAGACAAACTAACTAAAACAAAAAACGAACTAATAGTGCTCCCCCCTTTATTCAGTGTAGATGGTCTCTGCCAAAAGGTCCTCGGTCTGGCAATTCAAACAAAACAAAAAAAGAACAAACGTAAGTAAATAATTCAAACTTATATTAACTAGTATATATATATATATATATATATATATATATATATATATATATATATATATATATATATATATATATATATATATATATACATATATATTATATATATATAAGTATATATAAAGTAGTATATAAGTATATAAGTATAAATAAAGGAATTAAACTATGTGCTGTAATTAACTTAATGTAAAAAAATAACACTGTGGTGGCAGAGGAATCCACCACAGTCTCTCAAACAGAAAATATTTGTGATGTGAATAATAATAATAATACTACTAGTAATAAATCTTTATTTTTTTTTTTAAAGCACTTTTAAAAATAAGATTTGCAAAGTGCTGTACAAGCAGCAAAGAACAATAAAAAATAGCATTCAGAAAGCAAACAAAATCAAACAAGGAAGGAATCCATTCAATTAAATATAATAAATAAGTTAATAAAATAGAATACAAATAAATAAAGAATAAAATCAAGCTAAAACCAGTTAAAGGAAGGCCAGCTGATAAAAATGAGTTTCAAGAAGTGATTTAAAAGATGATGCTGATGCTGATACTGGTGCGAGCCTTTTCTCCTCAGGCAGGTCATTCGGACTGAAAAGGCTCGATGACCCTTCATCTGGAGCCTGAACTTTGGAACAGCCACAGGGACCTGCCTGAGGATCTAAGGCTGCGGGAGGCTCGTACGGGGTTAAAAGTTCTGAAATGTCACTTGGTGCAAGTTACTTAAAGGGTAAAGGAGCTGCCAACTTGAAAACTACAGCTTCATGACATCACAAAGTGGGAACAGAACATTTTGAGCTTTGGAGATGTAGACAGACTAATAATAAAGTGTTTCTCAAAAGTGTGAATGAAACAAAACACAACTCCAGTTTGTTTTTGATGAAGTAACAGTATTAAAACAAGGCTTAAAGCTCATAACAATCCCCTTTGTGTAATACAGGACCTTTAAAGAAACTGTATGTAGGCCGCACTCTCTCCGTTTTAATAAGATATTACAGTCACAACTAAACCTAAACTAACCTTTTTTCTCATTTTCATTATATGGAAGTCTCTTAT